ACAATGAGATGGAAACCAATCAAAATTTTATGCTGAATACTATTTTTTTTTCTTCAAAAGTTTTTTTCTTCAGAAGTTTTTCTTCTTCAGAATCCAGACTTTGACCAGACTAGACAATGTACCATACCAAATAATTATTATGTTGAAATGGATTTTGTTGTACATATAGTCATTAAACCCCTATATTTGTACTTAATTGGGCTTGATTTTCTATCTCTTAAGTTAGTCAGATTTTCAACTCAAGTTGCAGGAGAAGGCTTAGCAAAGTGCATTTCAGAAGTGTAAAATGCAATAGCTTCTCCTACGGATTTTGTATTTCCCCAAAACAAGTACAATATATATATACTCATTAATTAAAGTGATATATACTCACTAATTAAATGTAACAGTGAAAGATTTGCCCATATATTGGTATTGAAATAAAGAGCACATTTTAGTATCATGGACACACAGTTCACCAGTCAATTTGGTCATTTTCCGGGGGGTACGTTTATTCCGGAGGGTATGTTTATTAGACTTTGAAGATTTGTCCGGGGGGTATGTTTATTCCGGGGGGTATGTTTATTAGGGACATGAGAGTAGCTTGCATACATGTAACAAACATGCAGGGGTAGAGCTGGATCTAGTTTTCCAATGGATTATACAAGCTGAATACTGGGATGGGGAATAGAGCTACTTGGAATGTTTGGATACATATTCTTGGCTAGCAGATGCATGATCTACCGAGCCTGCACCCTTCTTTTCCTCTTACATTACAAGTGTGTGACAATTACCTAGCCCAGCATTGTAAAGTTTTGCAGCATACAATGTATACAATGTATGCTGCAATGTATGTATACAATGTATGCTGCAACAACAACATAGTATATGTAAAAACAAATGAAAGCAAACAGCAGAAAATGGAAAAAAATGACAAACATGAATAGGTGAGGCCACGTATAAGCTGCTTTTGTTTCTTCTTCCAACATTACAAGTCAAGGACTTACCATGTTGTGATGATTCTTCACGAATGTTCAGATTCTCCCCATGCTCATAATGTGGTTGTCCAGAGTCCCTCTGCTCATACTGGTGATGAATGCCGTAGGGTGAGGGGTCATCCTGGTGGGACGTACCATGTTGGGCTTCAGGGGGTGTTCCTGGTGGCCAGTGTTGCTGCTGTGAAGGAGGGATTTCATGCTGCATGCCACCTGTCCTCTGTTCAGGGTGACCCTCCTCCACGTGATATGGCACTTCATGATGCGACCCCTCCTCGTGACGGGGCATACCATGTTGTTGTTCGTGCGGGGGTGCCCCATTTTGCACAATCTGTTTGGAGGGGTCGCCGTAGTCCATATGTTCCCACTGAACACGGATGGGTTTGGCACCGTGATCCCCCTCCTCCTCCTGACCCATATACTGAACCATCCCCTCCTCTGCGTTTGGCACTTCTGGTTGTTGTACAGACGGGTCCCCCCTCCCTTCCATAGTTCTGGGGTCCTCCCCCTGGGCCCCAGGGGAGAGGTGATCTGGGGGGTCGGGAGGGTGGTGTTGATGAGAAGTGTCATCTTCTGTCTCCTGGACATTTCCTCGCAGCTGTTCCTGTACGAGACACATGGAGCAGATATTAAGTTTGTTCATGGTTCGTGCAAGCAAAGAAAACATGGGAAGGTTCACCGTGAATAATTTCATCAGGTTGGAAGATACTTAGGGTATAGAATTTTCTTCTTACAGAAAGCTGCGAGGAAGGTGTCTGATAGCAGGTGAGAACCTTACTGGTTGTGTAAGAAGAAAATTCTATACCCTAAATGGGAAGGTTCACTTCTAAATCATGGTTTAACCAATACACTGACTGGAATAAAGCAGAACTTAAGACATTTTGACTGCTATCCAGTGATCTCCATCAATTAAAGAAAGTGTTCATTCAGATTATATGGAACAAAGACAATAACGCATTACTCTATTGTTCTGAAAAATAGTTAAGTCCAATTCTCTGTTGGAAGGTTTGTTCACCACTGTAAAGAGAAAACACATTCCAGCTCTTATATCTATATCTAATATCTGATCAACAGGCAACAGGAATTGTGTATTACCACTGAACACTAGAAATATCAAATTGCTTTCATGCTCATTCATGTTTTTCTCTTCTGAAAAGGCTTTTATTACAGAAAGAGATGCCATACAAGTGCTTCATGCACTATTACATGCTTTCAGAAAATAGTTTTTAGAAATTCCTTTGCACTATTACATATATTTAGAACAGAATTTTTAGAAATTCTTCCTTACCTTTGTAGGAACAATGTGTGGCAGCGACGTATGAAATATATTCAGCTCTATCATAGCATCCTTCCTAAAATAACCAAACTTGTCTTCTTTCCCAACAACCTGTGAACAGAAGGAACAAAATGTTTTATAGAACTACAAATGGAGCAGATATCCAGTACTTGTTGCTAAAGTTTAAGAAAATATTAAATCAACTATAGTAGGGCTCAAAATCCTGTTATCTGCATACCTGTACTGGTGCAGGCAACACTGAAAATTACCTGCACCAGACAAATTTTACCTGCACCACTCAGAATTTATGAACTATGGATGACACCACTAAAATGTGTTCAGAAACCATTGCCATCATTTCTTTTATACAGTACTTCCTAGATGGTAACAGTCAATACAGCAAAAAATTCACATATACCTACATGTATATATAAACCCAGTACATGGCCCAGGGCAGCTTAGGTGCTGACAGACATCAGAAATACCTGCACAGCTCCAATTTTACCTGTACCAACCTACATATGCAGATCATATTTCAAGCACTGCCTAGACTATACTATACTATCGTACTATTCTGATGATAACAAGGAGTCACACAAGGTTTTTGTAATAAGGCAGACTTGATTATAATATATAATTATAAATATAATGGTAGAGAGGAAACATCTTACCACCCCTCCCCACAGCCCATCCTTATCTGCCTCCTTACTGAAGACTGTGATGACATCGTGAATGTTGAAGGACAGCAGGCGGGGGTCAGATGTTCTATAGTTCTTCCTCGCACGGCCCTGGGATATGGCCTCTAGAGGAAGAGGAAACATTTTAGAAATACTGTAAGTTAGCTTCTCTCTGTCTTTAACAGGGCATACTGGTGCAACCGGTGGTAGCAGTGTAAAAACAAAACAAAACAAAAATGTGACATCTAACAAAGAAACAAGCTTGAGTTAAAAGAGTTTAACCTTTCGAGACTGTAGGGGGTAAGTTAGTGGTTCTGAAGGCTTAACGAAGTTAACATTCTGCTAGTATCTGTTACAGAGTTATTTCAGTTGTAGTATAACTCAGGCACTGGCATTAGTAGCAACCTCAAGAAAATACTCTCTGGAACTGCAAATATAAGTTGGGTATATGATAGGAAATTGAGTCTGCAACTCTAATATCCATTTGGCCTAAGCCTACCTCCATCCAGCCATAAAAACGGCAACATTATCAAATTTCTGGCCAATCCTTCACATGTTGTAACTTGTATATCACATTGTGAATCATTAACAACTAAGCAGTAAACAGAGTTAACACCAACTTGCAGTACAGGGTGCAATGTTACACGTAGTAGTTCATCATGTGGATTGTGCCAAATTTCATTTCTTAAGTGTTTGATGCATTAAGATGATATCATATGGTGGTGCGGAGCTTGTTTACATATTATTTGCCTTCACTATAATGCAACAAAACAGACAACAACACACCTTAACAAGTCCCTGACTGATATCACAAAGATCTGAATGAATGTAACTAATTGCTGGTGTAATAGTACTAGTATGTTGATACCCCCAAAGTGTTCCCCTTGGTTCTCAGCTATTATTATTAAGTAATCCACTTAAAAATCTTCAACATTCGTTGCTTTGATAGACTATAACTTCAGCACTGGACTTTCTGGTCGTATCCACTTCTGAACATATGTTAATCTATTGTTATCACAAACCAGCAATAAATTATTCATGTCGCAAGAAAGGCTGTCCTTTCCAGCCACGGGTATAATAAATACAGCGAGATTAAACAGAAAGGTCGAAGCGATATTGTTACCTAGGCACGGTTCACATGTTCTAACGCAATTGTGTCCAAGAATTGATGGCTTTATAATAGCAACTGTTTATTAACGTTACCCCAACAATAATTGCCAGCGTGTCTAAAAGCTATGTTCCTCCATAGTAACAACAATTATAACATGTTGGCAATATTTCAGCTTTTGTTGTGATCATATACAAATTACATCGATGTTAGAAGCTATAAGTTACAATATATTTTCAATCAGCTGGCCTGCGCGCGGCCAATCAAATAAATAGACACTCGAGTCCAGACGCCACGCTCATACCTGTGCAGTTATACTACAATAACGAAAAATCAGAGAGGCGGAAGAAGAAAATTCCAACGCCGTTACCTCTACAACTAGGGTCCACGCATCTCTGTGTTTCGGGAATGAAGGAATCCGCGGATTTGAAGGCGAAATCGGACAAGAAGATCGCTAGAATCGCCAACAGCCGACCGGCGGCGGCCATGTTGGATTTCCCTTTCCTGACGGCGCAGGCGCAGAGGCATGCCGACACGTCAGCGGGAATCGCGTCACTTGCGGAAGTTCCTGGCACATTCCAGTGTAAATCCTTTTGGGGAAGGGGGTTACTATAACATAGTAAACATCTACCGATCAGGAATGGGAGACAAGACCATGCCCCCGTCTTTAGCCGCACAGGAACACGCCAAAGCTAGGTCTTCCTCCTGAATTCACTTTCACTTTTTGATTCAATTGATTCTATCAGTATTGGAACTTCGGTAAAAGCCGATATATTGATGAGGGGGTGTTTAGATTATCAAATATAGAAACGTGTTTTCTTTTTCGCGATACAGATTACTATCAAACCAGCTACACCCCTCCCCCTTGATATTGACACTGGCAGGTGCATTGATTTTGTTACAGACAACGTCATTCATTTTGACGTAACGTTACTCGACTTTTACACTGCGCCATTCCATAAAGTCACACTTGAAAATAGAATTTAAAACACAACTTTAAAGAAAGGCACGGATTCCAGTTTGGTATATTAGAATGGTCAAATGTTTAATTCCGTTTACTATATATACAATTCATTGGATCACCACGTGGCGTACTTTAGGCTGCTCAATTTTAAATTTTGCTTCATTATTTTACATTTTGGCTTTATACAGCACCCAGGGTATCCCAGAGCCTTTAAATGATCATGGTGAAATACACGTTGTAGTAGTAAGATCCGACGTGTAAGACCTTTGTTTATATCTGCCCATTGACGCCATGCATTGTGTGTTGTGTTTGCCTGGCATTCAGCGATCCCGGATCTTGTACTCGCACTTTACACTCAACTCACGTCAGCTCAGGGCGTGCTGATGGACACACGCGAAAACACACTCGCGCCCTCAATGTCCGTTAAACTTTCGCATGTTAGGCGGTCTTTTCACACAAACTCAGTTACTGTGTATGCCAAACTGTGTATCAGTGACTCGACAAGTTTCTTCATATGCTGTGTTCCAAATCTAAAATAAAGTCTTATCTCAGTTGTAGATTTCTTTTATGGTGAAGTGTACGAGACATGTCCTTGTACCTTGGTCCCTACGCGCCACCCCCAACCCCCATGTTAAGACGGTACAATGGCACACCTTGTACTGCGAGTCTGACGATTTGTTTCTTTTGTCCGATCCCGGCATTATCCCCGTATCAACACCTGGAATCTCCTGGCTACAATCATGCGCGGAAAGAAAGAATAACACCCTGCGTCATCGGCCACGAAACTATGCCACGGCTTTTATTCCGCGATACAATCGCCATTTTCTTCCCATTTGATTGATGCTTTTTGCATCAAGTTCATGATGGACCAACATAAGCGTCAACTGTTGCTAAGTTCATAAAACAGTAAAGTGGTATGTGGAATTGATGTCAGCCACCTGTCAGAGGTCTCACTATGTACATGTATGACGAACGCACGCCGTACCTTTCTTTGTCGGGTATAACGCCCATTGGTAGCCATGTAAATCATTTGAGTGCGTTTTCTTGTAACAGGTGTTCGTACGAGGATTTCATACTCGGCTACAGATCTACAGTGATAACACCGTGCTCATCGGCGAGATATGACGGATACACCCTGTTTCTTTTGTCACCGGTTTAGCTCATACTGTGGCCCGTCTTAGCTTTAGGACGTACGAGACATAAACACAAGGCCCTGCCCTTAAGAACGCGAATGGGAGTCGAGTATTGGCGCGTAAAGGATCTATTGTCAGCTGTTACATCAGATTACGTTCATTCGACCGGTCTCTCAGTCATCCCTGCTGGCGAACCTTGCCACAACTATGTCTCAGAAGTGTGGCGAAGCTTGACCGCGCCGCCCGTTCTAGAGTAACTGCGGAGAAGTTTCGGAAACAAGACGACTGAGTGGGCACAGCCGGATCATGGAGGGCAGCAGGGAGAGAGCCTCGCCGGGAGAGCTCAGCGTCTGTAGCTGGCCCATGAGCGCACAACGGAGGGTGGTTAGATCGCGGGGAACCAAGAGCGACGTTGGCCCGCGTCCCCAGGTCGCCATCTACCGACGGAACAGGACGACAATCACGTATGACGTCGACAAAAAGGGACGGTGTTCTGGAACGCATGTCTTGGAACAAACGGACTCGCGTAACGTTGGCGAGAACACGACAGGAAATTCGAAGACACCCGAGTCGCGGTTCGTCATGGCAGACGAAGATTGCCTTTGTGGCAAGGTTTTTCACATGAGCGATGCCATAGCGGTCGTCCCGCCAGGTAGTACGCCAAGGACAAAGGCGAAAACCAGATGGTTTACTCCTACCACGGTAAAAAGCGCCGGAACAGACTGCCGACATCCCGACAGGTTCACCACGAGCAGACCGGCCACGATGTGTGTGGGAGATAAACATATCATGGACAGACTCTGGGATCTGAACAGCTATCTGGACAACGGTGACATCCACCGGCCATTTTCAGGTGACGATAACCTAAAGTTTTCTTCGAACTTCAAAGTTATCATTGACAAGTCCGTTTTGAATCTGAGTGATAGGGATTGTGTGCTTTGTGTATTGAAAAACAAAGCAACACGGCTTGTTCTCGAATCAGATTTTCTTTTACATTATACAACTTTTCATCACAAGATTCTTAGCCCCAGACTTTTATCCCGATTAGCAAGTCACGTCAAATAGACAAACCCCTTGAAAAGTCCTGATTCGAAATCTTCCGATTCCCAGTACTGTAGGGTTCTGTAATTTGTCCTGTAAGTTCCAATGTCACTCCATATATGGCCATGCCTAGTCGCGATAGCATCCGTGCTAATCTTGTTGAAAGAACGTCTTCAACTGTTTGTACAGTTGTACTAACTGCTCTTAAGCAGAAGTGTTCTAATGAGAGTTTTTTTTAGCATCTCGCACAGAGAGTACCCTTCAGTGCCTTCGGGGGGATGGGTTTGGTGTTGTATGTGTACGTAGAGGGTAAGAGTGTTGTCAGTGCGGCCCCACAGAAATGTGTGTGTGTTAGGGCAAATGCCTTCCACTCATTGCATGCAGCTTAATTGACCGATGTGGGTGCTGACACCTTGGTAAAAGCAAATCGTTTGAAATTGAATCTTCTTCCTACCAGGCCCTTCCAATACGACTGATCCTATTAAATGTACTACATCATGCCTATCAGCCTTTAGCTTATGTAATCATGATGACTTCGCCAATCTGACAGTTTCTATAAACAGTTGCCCACCTGTTTACCTTGTGAAACGGCGCGGTTCTTTGTGAGTAATAAAATAGTCCACACGCGTACCGCAGTTGCGTCGTACAACATGTAAACTTGCAGCTTACGGAAAACTTTATCGTTACGAGTGCCCAGGTAACGACCTTAACACGTAGTCAATGGGTTTTATGGTCAAGCTCCTTTAGAACAATTGAAAAAGTTGATGAACAATCTAGAAGGGTGTGTGACACTGTGTGTGTGTGTGTGTGTGTGTGTGTGTGTGTGTGTGTGTGTGTGTGTGTTGCGTCGTACGTCGTGTGTGTGTGTGTGTGTGTGTGTGTGTGTGTGTGTGTGTGTGTGTGTTTGCGCGTACGTACGTCTGTGTGTGTGTGTGTGGTGTGTGTGTGTGTCTGTGTGTGCGTGCGTGCGTGCGTGCGTCTTCTTGTGTCTTTCGGTGTCTGTCTGTCTGCGTATGTCTGTGTGTGCGCGTCTCTGTATATGATGCCTAATCCGACTTCTCGTATTCCGTCTTGTCCCCCAGGTCCGCCTGCCCACCCCTGGTTCAAGACCCGCCTGTGCGCCGTGCACGACCTGCGGCCCCCGACCCCGACCACCCCTCACCTCCCCGCCCTCCCCAACAGGACCGACCGCTTCGAGCAGATGGTGCGGCGGGAGGCCCGCGCCAACGCCCGCCGCCAGCTCCCGGGGCTTCGCACGGTGACGCTCCTCTGGAGGAACCTGCGGGGCAGGGAGGCGTACAGCCAGCAGGAGCTTCACTACTTCGCGTCCATGATAGGACCCGTGGACTCTATAATGCTACTCAGTCCCACCAGCGCGCGTGTGGTGTTCAGGGACATAGACGCCGCTTGTAAGGCTGTCAACACCACGGGCAAGTTCGGAAGGCCCGACAACCGTCTGTACTGTAACTGGCTTCATCGCGGCATGGATAATAAGAGGTTTAGATTGAAAGGTCGGCAGCTAGTGGTACAATACGATCCGACGTTATACACGTAACGCTACCGGTTAGAACGTGAACAGGTTGTTCCAAAACTTTATACAACTTCTTCGCAACTTCGTATCGTTCCTGATCTAAGATCAGATTACCAAGACAGATTATTTTCTTGTGTCTTGTTACAAACATTGGTTGTTGTAATTGTCGTTTATGGGTTGAATAAACTGGCATTTAAGTTGGGGTGTTGTCTAGGTTTTGTGTGCTCTTTATCATCAAGACCTATGACGGAGGAAATGTTAATAAGTATTAAGTAAGGCGGTCAACGCTCGGTCAAGGTTCGGAAGGCCCGATAACCGTCTGTACTGTAACTGGCTTCATCGCGGCATGGATAATGAAATGAAATGAAATGATCTTTATTGCATATCCTTGCCCAGACGGGCTAAATGCATACATGCTTTGTCACAGTATAAAATACATGTGGTGCATACATACATAATGTATGTTTGAGTTCTATACTAGGATTCTAAGTACTACATAATTCTAAGTACTACATAATTCTGTTTGTCTATTTTTTGGTTCTGGTTTCTTCTCTCTTCTTGAAACACTTATTGATATAATCACACACTTTTTCTACAATGTGTTCATTTCTGCTTGACATAAGATGTATAAATCTATTTTGCTTGGACAGTTTCTTATATTTCTTGTCTAAATCTAGTACATTAAATAACCCCTTACGTTCATAATAATAAGAGGTTTAGATTGAAAGGTCGGCAGCTAGTAGTACAATACGATCCGACGTTATACACGTAACGTAACAGGTGGTTCCAAAACTTTGTACGCCTTCTATGCAACAGTTGATCACCAAATTACTGGCATTATGTCCTACCTGGGCCGCGATTACGTTCGATACGGGTGTTCCGGCCCGTGTGATAACTAGCGGTACGGCCCGGGGGTTCTTAACGCGTACGGCCCGGGCCTTCCAAATGTTCCATGGAACGATTCGAACGCGTTTCGGCCTAACCGCGTGCACCGATTTCGAAATTCGAATACAAAATTCGGACGTTGGAATTGATGTTGTCGCATTTTTTTGGGTTTAGGGACACCAAATTTTCGCTCATTTCGCATTGAAAGGCGCGTTTTCTTGGGTGGGTATGACATAAATAAGATACAACACGGTGTATTCCGCATCACCCTCGGTCCCGGCCCTCCCGCGGATCGGATCTCCCTCCGGCCTTCGGCCGTCGGGCGATCCGACGCGCGGTCGGGCTGGTACCTCGGGCGATACGGAATACACCGTGTTGTATTCTATATATATTTAGTAACGATATAGTAGTCAAATAAACAAAACAACAATAGTGTCTTGTAACAAACATTGTTTGTTGGAAAGTATGTGTTGTTTTTGGTACCAAAGCTTGAATAAACTGGCGTTTAAGTTGGGCCATGGGGGTGTTGTCCATGTTTTGTGTGCTCTTTATTGTCATTACTTTATTACAGAGGAAATCAACTTTAAATTAATGATACCGTATATAGCCGTATACTGGTGTGATGACCTCTGATATGATGGCCAGTAGATAGCATAAGTCTGAAGTTTTCCGTATGGACCAATCTGTAGAAGAGTTGTTGAAGATTCAGTGATGCATGCGTCTGTGGAGGGCTCTACTAGCTAGCCTGGTTACCAAATATTTGCGGAGAGGATGTAGGACTCGGGAGCTATAATAGGTTTGGTAACCAGGCTATCTACTAGCCGCTGTGGTGTCAGGAGTAAGGTCCACATAGCTACGAATAGGCATCAACGAATGTTGTCCAATGGCTGTAGAAAGCAATCGTCCTGTGATCTTAGCGTCACACACATCATAATCTGTTACACACATTGAGGGCTTGAACGTTATGTAAAGTGAAATATTTAACAACTTCAAACTTTGTCTGAGAGGAACTCCACCTTAGCCTGGGTACCATTCGGATTTTCGCTACGCAACGCTCGAAAAAATCCGGATGGTACCCAGGCTAACTCCACCTGCTTGAGCGGTAAAGAGAAGTAGCGCTCCCTAGCGAGATCGAGCTAAACTACATGCAATTTCAATCGACATAGCGACGTAAATCCAACATGGCGGACGAAAACGTGAAGAAAGATGAAGAGACGAGTTCTTCGGATAAAGAGGAGGACAAAACTGCAGATAAGACAAAACTGAGTGACGAGAGTAAACAGGAGTCACCATCGGCGTTTGCGGCATTCAAAGTCCCCGCACCTTTCAAGAAACCGGCGGCATTCGCTCCGAAAAAGTCCAGTCCGAAACCCCCGCACCCCCCTCCCCACCTGGCAAAAGAAGGTTCGCCTCAGAAAGGTGTAGAGCAGCAGAGACTCGGCGATTCCTCTGATGACGCAAGTGAGAAACAACAGCCTGAACCACAAGACAAGGGACCAACAACAACAGATGGAGACGTCAAGACAAAAACTGCTGACGAGAGCAAAGACTCGGAAGAACCACAGCAAGTCAACGGAGACAAACCGAAACCACAACATCCCAAGGAAGTTCCATCAAAAAAGAAACAGAGCCCCGCAGAAAAATTACAGGCACCGCCTCTGCCTTATAAAGAACCGGCCTGGAGCTCCGTACCGGACAAACCTTACAGTTTAGAAGTGCTGAAGAACGGCTGCATCGTGTCAAAGTTGGAACTCACGGGAAAACCTTTCTACGTGTTCGGGAGGCTGGACAGCTGTGACGTCACGCTGGAGCACCCGTCACTGTCAAGATACCACGCGGTGGTGCAGTTTCGGGGGGAGGGGGACGGGGAGAGGGAGAGGGGGTTCTATCTGTACGACCTGGGCAGCACCCACGGGACCTGGATGAACAAGATGGAGGTGAAGCCCAAGGTGTACTACAGGCTGAGGGTCGGGTACATGATCAAGTTTGGAGGCAGCTCAAGAATGTACATCTTACAGGTGAGCAGGTGATCTTAAGAACTAGAAATATTACAGTACCTGTCAACTCTTACTTTAGAAGACACCCCGCATTCTTCCACTTTTTAGCGTGCAAGATATCAAATACACAAATGTACAAAATGAATAAGGAAGTCAGTATGGCTACTACTACTAACCGCAGCTTTATAAGTTACAATATAGAGTTAGCAGTACAGAGTACATTTTAAGAGTTCTGGTTATGTGTGCTAATGTTAACCTTTGCCATATGGGTCTTCTCCATTCTACAATGCAGATAATACTTTGTTGTACTGAGTACTTGGAAAAACTCAGCGTTCCTCCTCCCCACCTGTGCTGTATCTGTATAGCCAGTATAATCGCCAGCTTTGCAGGCACGTGGCGCAGCGGCAGCTGGCTACATTACACTGAACAATCTGTTACACCTAACCCTTGAACATCTAACTCTGAACATTGCTGTAGGGACCAGACGAGGACCAGGAGGAAGAGTCCGAGATGACGGCGACCGAGCTGCGGGAGTTACACCGGCAGGAGAGGGAGAAGGCGGAGCAGGCGGACACGGACGACGTGACGGAGTCTCGGGAGACGCAGGAGGAGGAGATGGAGGAGTGGAGGAGCAGGAAGAAGAAGGAGAGGGATGTGGAGGAGGAGGGCATCAGCTGGGGCATGGGTGGGTAGTGGTAGTAGCAGTAGTAGTGGACTAGTAGTAGCATCCAGTCTTTGATAATACTGCACAGGGGTGGTCTATAGTCGGGCTAGTCTGGTCGGTGGGTGTGGTCAACATTCAAAACACCTTCATACAAATTATTGTGTGAACTAAAAACAACAAGTATATACCAGTACTTCTAACATTTGTTGTAGATGGCATGTCTTATTACAGACACCCAGAAACATGCACATCCACTGAGGGCAGTACCAGAACAAAAGAAGTGGACAATATAGTAAAGTTTACACTTAACTAAAGAATGATTGTGTTAATCTGTTCTCAAACAATGTTTAGTGACCCTTTAACTGAAAATGAAACAAAAAGTGCACGTTACCATGTTAGCTTCAAAAGGAGTCCTGGAAGTACAACAATATATCAGATCTGCGCTGACATTACGATTATCTTCCTATAGAGGAGGATGCTGAGGAGGAAGAAGAGGATGACAGGAACCCGTTTTCCTTGGAGTTAACTGAGGAGAAGGAGGCGTACTATGTCAAGGACCCCAAGAAAGCCTTGAAGAACTTCTTTGAGAGAGAAGGTAAAGTTTTCAGACAGCACACAGATAAAGTATTGATTAGCTGATCCCTAACAAGTTCTATCCGTCATTGTTTTGCACATTTCACGTTGTTCATATTTTTGTTTTTTAATGATAATGATGTGATTCCTGTTTTAGGAGAAGAGTTGGAGTATGAGGTTGAGGAGAAAGGCACCAGTTTCCACCGACAGTTCTACTGCAGAGTCAGGTCTGTTGTTGTCCTGTTATAATTTCTATAGTAAGACTTTTTGATACATAGTAAGTAATTTCATCAGGTTGGTAGAACATGGGATATTAGGATTTTCTCATACACAACCAGTACTTCTGTCACCTTGCTTACATTTCGACAGAAGGTGTCTGATAGACATCGAAAGGTAAGCAGGTGAGAGAAGTATTGGTTGTGCTTAAGAAAATCCTGATATTTCAAGACTTAAGACAGTGGATGTAAAACAAATTGAATTTACTGCACAAGCAGTGTACAAGTTGTATGGAGGTCACAGGTACAATTGTTCTCACTCCCCCTTCTCCCCCCAGGTTACCAGTGGAGGGTCCCGATGGCCGTGAACAGTACGCAGAAGCCACGACGTCTGGTAAGAAGAAGGAGGCAGTCCTGGCGTGCGCTCTGGAGGCGTGTCGACTGCTGGATGCCTACGGAGTACTCAGGCAGCAGGGATACAGTAAGTTAGGACACATAAAGGGTAACAAAATGTTCTGGACCCCTATAGAATTGCTGTACCTTCAGTGCTTGCTATGATGTTACGTCAAACAAAATTGAGATGACATAAAAAAAAATTCAGGCTGACTGGAATACTGCAGTAGGTACAACATCTAGGTATTCTATTTCATTGACCTCTCAGAGACTGTCTAGACTTCATCTCAACATGTAAATTAGTCCTTTAATCCCACACTTGTATAAAGTATTTCAACATTACTCATAAGTTTTTAAACATGAGAATTATTGTAAAAAAAATTGTTTTTGATTCAGTTTTAACAACCACAAACCAATTAAGTCATCTTGAAACTTACGTACCCAGTCATTTTTTTTATCTCAGAGTCGAAGCGCGTTGTGCGGAACTGGGAGGAGAATGATTACTATGATAGCGATGAGGACACGTTCACGGACAGGACGGGAGACGTGGAGAAGAAACGGATCCGCAGGATGAAGAAGGCCGGCAAGGATGAGAACGTCACGCACACGTACGACAGTCTGGTCAGTACGGTCATGTTTTTCTTTAGAATATACATTATTATGCAGGGCTCAAAATACTGGGTGTATATGCATCTGAGGCCACACCAATTTAATTTCTTGGTTAACGGATTTTTCTAGAAAAATAATGGAGCGGGCGGCGAAAAAAAAACCCCAAAAACAGGCCTAGACATCCTATTATGGCCCAAAATGGTACGATAGGAGCCATGAAGTCATCACACCAGGCTGGTTCAAAATTTAAACAATGAATTTTGATACTACTGCATTGAAAGATGGGATGACTGTAACAAGTAGTAAGAAAAGGACTGTTTTCAACTGTTCAGGGCAAAATATGAGCATTGTGCAGTTGATTCTGAATTGTTATTTTTATTTGCAAATCAGAAAAAAAGCGGCGAATCCGTTAACCAAGAAATTAAATTGGTGTAGCTTTAGTGCAGGTAAAATTGGAGCTGTGCAGGTATTTCTGATGTCTAACTGCACCTAACCTGCACCAGTCTATATGTGCTGGGTTTATATACAAATGTAATGTTAGGTGTATGTGGATTTTTATTTGCTGCATTGACTGTTACCATCTATGATGTATGAAATAAATAATGGCACTATACGGTTTCTACCAGTATACTGTTTTCAGTATGATCTTGCATTTTACCAGATTTAGCTACAGGTTAATGTACTGTTTTGATGAATTTTGTGTTTTTTCTAAATGCCTTACAGTCAGCCCAGCATGAAGAAGTTGTCCAGGAGCTGAGGGTTACAGAGGAAAAGTTAGCAGCTGCCAGGAGAAGTAAGAATGTTTCCTCATTTTCGTTTGGAGTATAACATTGTTCCTGAAAAGAGTCACAGTCCTTAGGACGGGACGTTAAGCTCTTCTCAAAGAGCTAATTTCCTCGGTACAATGAACCTGTAAAAACTGTACATAGTGTCTGTCTCCTCTGTCACAACCAGTGGAAGAATAGATCTAAAATTGGATCGTGATCACCTTCTTTCATTTGTCAGAGTTAGATTTTACCAGCTCTGTGTCTCTCTTTCTCTTCCCTCCAGAATCAGAGTCTGAGGAGTCAGAGGACCCGCTGGAGGCCTTCATGTCCAACATGGCAGCGGGATCGGGGCTGACGAAGGTGGAGGTCAGCAAGCTGCGACTGCGGCTGTTTGAGCTGCGGAAGGAGGAGCAGCGGCTGCAGAGACTCATGAAGGTGGCCAAGCCTGCAGACCTACCGCAGCTCAGCACGTGAGTATCAAGTCTTCCAGTCATCCAACATAGACTAGTGTGGGGTATATGGTTTGATGCAAAAAATATACATAAACAAGCTGCCAGATGGCCAAAAATCTAATCATTTTGAGGTCTAATCAAAGTCTACAATTACATCTAACTCTTCTCAAGTTATAGTGTTCACAGACAGACAGACAGACAGACACACACACACACACACACACACACACACACACACACACACACAGATGCTACCAAAACATATTCTAACAGTCTGTATGTACAGGTAGATGGTCAACCTTCTTTGATAAATGTAGAAAACTTTATAGCTCTTAATACTCTGTTTAAATGTTTTTTTTTATGTTTGTAATTTGCAACTAGCCTGAATTTTGCAAAATTCGTGACAAGAATACACTCTATAACAAGATGTCTGTCCTGTCGAAAGTACAGCATTCTTACTTATGTCTTCAAGAAGTAACCTACAACATTCAGCCATGTCCATGGAGAGCAAACTACTGATTGGTGTTACCTAAGTATTAGTAATGTTTTGATCTTGCTGTTCACACTTGTATCCAGAACGTCATCAGGTAAGCCAGGTGAGACCAGTACAGGTGTGGCCACTAAGAAGCAGCCATGGAGGAACCTTCCCCTGACTGGAGCCATGAAGGGTCGACACACTGTAGCCAAGAGTAAGCCTCAGGTGAGATAAACCTTCACTTTATTTTCTTCATTTCGATGCCCTTTAGCCCCATCCGCCCATGGCAGGGGCAGCGGCTCCAAATTCCTTCTCCACCCCTTACCCCTGCCGAATAACCCTGCATCTTCTACTCTGCGACCCGATTCCAGGGACACACTCTCAGCCAATCATGTATCACAGAGAAAATCTTTAACGCACTCTACATTAAATATTCATGAGCTACGCTAGCTATCGGAACCAATCATGTCGGCTGTTCAGTGACAAATAAAAACAAACATGGCGTCGTCTTGGGAAGAGAATTTTGCGATGCAGGCCGCTGCGGGCGTCGGCGGGGCGCTAGTGTGTGCTGGAGGCTGCGCGCGGATCCCGCCGAGCACGGGGAAGGTGCCGGCGCGGAGAAAAGAGGGGGCGGCTTGGTGACTTTGCCCCACACGGCCTCCCCAACGGGCTCATCACCGGGCGGCGGCGGAGTCGCCGGCGGCCAAGTCAGAAATGGGGTCATGCCAAATAAGGAAAGCTCATGATCGAATATTAATATTCCTGGGGTCGCAGAGTAGAAGATGCGGGGTTATTCGGCAGGGGTAAGGGGTGGAGAAGAAATTCGGAGTCGCTGCCCCTGCCATGGTGGGAGGATGTTTAGCCCAAAAGGCTAACCTTCCAAAAGGCTAATCTTCCAGGGCTCAAATAAAAATACATCTACAACAGATAACATGGTAAATTTACATTCTTACAAGTGAAAGGAAGATAATCAACATATATACTAGTCACAGAACATTATACGAAAAATTGGAAACCTTAAGAATGCACACAGTTTTCTCTTTGGCTGCTGAGGGGAACCCAGTTAAGCCGCACTATATGCAGGTGCCTCATTCAAGCATTTTTGTACTGGCACATTGCAAAGTGGAGGTTGATATTGGCTTTGTTTGCAAATGACAAAGATTTGCAGATTTCTACAGTCATAGACTGTGATTCATGGAGTTTAATAAGACATAGCCTTCGCTCTGGTGTGTTCAGGCATCAGGCAATAACTGGGACTAGTTCCTTGTAAATTTCTTTTCCTAGTGCAAGGTGCTTTGATAGAAAAATATAGTGTCTGCATTAGACTATTTTATACAAATTGGTTTTCACCATATGTTTTGACATGCAAACTTCAGGTTGCTCTCCCCAAGCCAGTTCAAGTGCAAGTTCCTTCTACCATGGACCAAGAGGAGGTAGAGGAGGAGGAAGATGATGTAGAGGAGACAAAGGAAGAGCCTGTTGATATGGAAACAGCACAGGTTACAGCCAGTGACTTACAAACAGGCACAGCAGCTATAGAAAGACTACAGGAGGAAGAGGAGCAGCCAAGTGTTACAGCAATGGGTTAGCACACTCATGGATATTAAGATTCCCTCTAAACATTCTAGTCATCTTGCAGGCAGTGTGGACACCATGTTTGAATCTTTTTTTTTATTTATTCACATATATTTATTGAGTATTAGGCAAAAACCACAGATTGCTTATATGTCACCTTCTACTCAAAAATATAAAACGAGAGTAAAACACAATGACAAAATAAAGCAATTGAATCTTTATCAGAATTCTTTTAGATAAGATTTTGATAGATAGGTACATTGTAATACCGAAAACTAATCTACAATACGATTTTGCATCATAAGGTCACTTGTACCAATGAGATCATAATGCAACATACATGTACATTTGTGTGTTGTGTGACATGTTTCGTTCATTTCTCTCTACCAGACATTTCTGCAGCAAGTAGCCAGGAATCTACCAGTAAAAGACCCTGGGAAGGAGAGGAACAGGGAGAAGACCAGGCTGCTGCTGATGATGATCAGAAGTTTGTGGTGAGAAATATTTTGATTTCTTTGTTATATGCTAGAATAGAAACACAATCTTCCTTTGCTTTTGTCCTGACAAGGAAGATAAATGAAACATTCTTTTCTACACAAGAAAACATTTTCTCAAGCAACTGGATAGATTTTTCAAAATGTATCCAGTTGCTTGACTGTTTTCTTGTGTACCTCATTACATGAATGTCTAACCTTCATCCACGCATTCCTTTCTACAACCTTAAGTATTAAGTACATGTACAACACTTTATTGAAAGATTGGATCACCCAATACTACAATGTAAGAAGAAAAAGTTCTTGTTGTTTCTAGGATCCAAAGCCACAAGTCTCCAAAAAGAAGAAGTCCCAGCCCAAACCAGACCCTCCCATGTCCAAACAGTACGCTGATGACGACCCAGACTACAGCATGTGGGTCCCACCAGATGGTGAGTACAGACTTTTCATATTGTTCTATGTTATATGTTTGACATATTTTATGTTTTTAAATGCTTAAAAGTAGGTTCATGTAATAGCTTTTTCTCTTGAATTTGTAAAGTACACAACAGAGCACATTACACATTTATTGGTCTTTCTACATTTTGCTTAAACCTGTTTATATTTTGTTTTACAGACCAATCTGGAGATGGGAAGACCAGTTTGAATGAGAAATTTGGTTACTGAATGCTAGAACTGGTGGCAGTACCATATTAGAGGTCTCTACTTTGAATAAAAGATTTTGAACCCATTCAACTTCCAGTTTATCAGTGTTCTTTGGACACCCTCTTCCTTGTATACAGACCACAATGTATTTATACCGTAAATATATCATGGTAACCCCAAAGTAGGAGAGGGCTCTGTACATGATCATAAAATGAGTTTAAACTCAACAAAACAATTTATATGAATTGTAATTGTTAGAACGTGCTTTCCACAAAATCCTGCTTGAGATAGCCCTTTGTGACATGATGATTGTTGGTTGTATGTGAAGTAGATATTTTGTTACTCGATTGTCCTTATAACAACCAGTTTGTCCTAGAACATGACCAGAGATCTGCAGTGCTTTGTCCTGTGTTCTTTGTGGTAAAGAGGCTAGTTACCTTAATGTGAACTACAAGTTTAAACAGACACATCACAGTGTATGGCATGTTCTGGCTCCACTTCCAGAACTGATCCTTTCAGTGGATCTTTTTATTACTCCAGGAAGAACTTAGACAAAAGTAACTTCAGAAAATCATCCTTTATGTTTATACTGTACACAAGAACAAGATTTACAAGAGTATATTCTTTGACTTGATACACAATGTCTGAATGAGAAAATTATCCTAATTAAAACTTGTTCAGTACTGGTAGTTAAATCTTAAATGTACTAGAAATTATTAATACATATGCAGATGCCAATATTTGATTCCACACAGAAACACTGTGTGTGCAAACATTGAGGTGGTCTAACATGACCATTGATACACAAATGACCACCGAAAAAGTTTGGAGAAAGAGCTGAGGCCATATTCAATGGGTTCATTGACCATTTTTATAACATCATCAGTACCGTAGTTAAGAATAAGAAGCAAATATCAGGTTGTAGGTTGGCACATGGTCACAGCAGTGATTAAATGGGAATCACACAGGTGTTCAGTAAAACTTTTTTTATACATCCCTTTTATGAGAATAAATAACTTCATATCAAGACCATCCTACAGTCATTGGAAAAAAACATATCATTTATGGTAATTGCTTCTCTTATGACAACAGTGTATCAAATAATTTCTATATTAAATGATTTTCACAAGGCACAATGTCCACTAGCATAACTTCAAGTATACACTGGCCTCTTGCAGAAAATTTGATATTTGCAGATCACATTTGAAATTGCAGGTTAGTTTTGTGATATATCTGATGCACATAGCTGACACTGTAAATTCTCAATGTTGTGTCAGACCAGAGGTTGGGAATACTGCTGGTTCCTGTTGAGGCTGGACTCAGAGCAGGTTGATCTCCCCCATGATATTAACTGGTCTGTCGCTGTACCGCTTGGATATTTCTCCCTCCATCTGCGAAAGGCCATACAATTAATTCTAAAATGTTGCACTGTTTTTTGTACTGTCTGTATCATACAAAAACAATACATGTACTAGTATTTCCTTCTATGACAAAAATTATGCTCAAACAAACATTTAAGAAAAAAATAATTTGAGCCATGAAATTGGCTTCCTCTAGGCTCATAGGTAATAGAAAAGATGTGAGGAATGGACCAGCACAACACCTTAAGAACATAAAACTGAGAAGGGTGACCTTGTTGCAACATTGTCATATCGTCTGTGGTGCCCAAATGGACAAACAAGGGATAGAAGAGAAAGAGATTCATGTAAATGTACATGAACTTTCACCCAACCTGTTTCTTCAGCTCTTTGGTCTTCTTGATGATGACCTGCAGTTTGGGCTCCGTCTGCCTCTGGTCCTGCAGCGCCCCCTGTCTCTTTTCGATCATAATGCGCTTCCTGGCGAGCATCTTGTCGGCCTGGTCCAGCTTCTGCTGAAGGTTGGCGGTCAGTCTGTCTACGTACCTGTAGGGGGACAGGAAAGGTGTTTTATGCTGTCCAATTTGTTATCAAAGGATGAGCCAAGCACACGTATGTAAAAACAAAGAGGTACCAAAAAAAAAAAAGCCATTATCAAACAAAGAATGCTGTCTGTCTGTCTACATATCAATAGGAGACAGGAAAAAGACAGTTGTCTTATACTGTCCAGAAGATGGATAACCAGGTATGTCATCAGATGAATAACCAAGTAAGCCATTAATGTCAGCTTTAAGTTTGCTCCCCAAGATCTGCTTGTTGGTGGTGTAGCAGATCTAGGGAAGTAGACTAAAGCTAACAAGGACATCAGGCTATTATCAATAAAGAATAATGCTAAAATACAGCATATATAACAGACAGCTATGGCCATATTTACTTTGGAGAGGCCTTGAGCATGTAGAGCTGCCTCATACAGTTGTTGGTTAGGTGACTAAAACTAACGTGTATAACCATATTTACTTGGGAGAGGCCTTGAGCATGTAGAGCTGCCTCATGCGGTTGTTGGTGAGCTGGGCCAGGATGGTGTCTACAGGGGCGAGCATGTCCGTAATCTCCTCCACGGAGCGCATCTGCAGCTCCTGCGGCGCCGACTGGAAGATCGTCTCGGCCACCACGTTGTTCTCTCCCTCCATCTCCACCAACCGCTGGGCCAGGAAACCCGAGAGCTGCAACAGGAGGGAATAATCCAGCATGTGTGTTAAAAGTGAATCTCATTTGAGTTATGCACAGTTCCCAACCTGGGGCCCAGGCAGGCAGTTTGTGAGAACAAAAATACAAAACACAACAATGCCGACTGGAAGATCTCAGCCAACACGTTGTTCTCTCCCTCCATCTCCACCAGCCGCTGGGCCAGGAAACCTGAGAGCTACATGTACAGCAATGGGGGGGAGGACATCCAGCATTTCCTGAGTCTACAGGAAGAGTTGCCATGCTAAATACATATTGATGCCATACTGGAATACTTCACCAGCGCAATGGCCAAGTGGGGAAGAGAGAGATAGAGTTTGCCTTGCATTTGGTAGGTCATGAGTTCAATCCTTGGCCAAGTCATACCTAAGACTTCAAAAATCTTTTTAAAAAGTTTGAAAAAGCTGTAATCTGAAAATAGCAAAATAGTTTCACTCAGAACGTCAACATCAGTACCTTGGTACACACAGTTTCAGGCAGCGAGTACAGGCAGGTTCCTGTTTTCTTTTTTTCTGGACCTCTTGCTGAATGACCTCTTGCTGAATTTTTACTTCAAACCTTTGAGAACCAAGAAATGAATTGGTCTTGGTAAGTAAATTGTACTTTTGAGTAGTACAGTAAGTTTAAGTTTCATACCTCCCGTAGTTCATTTATGACCTGGTCTCTTGTCTCTTTGTGGTCAAACAGGGACAGGGCATCTGTTCCCATGGCAACTCGGCTGTCTGGAAGACAAAACATTTGTTTAAACTGTGTAAGATGATGGGATAAATGGCACATATGGTTATGAAAAACATTAAGAATATACAACAAGTGATATTTACCTGCCACTGCACCTGCACCGTTCTGTGACTGTAAAATACAAAGGGAAGACAATCAGTCAATGGTCAGTCTCTCTACATCCTTCCAGTTCTCTCTCAGTATTTCTATTCTGTTGCTCAAATTCAACAAATATGACTAATACAACATCTAAGACATAACCTCACCTGATCAGCCCCGCTGCCTTCCACTGTGATGTCCAGCTCGCCGTCTCCTCCCCAGTCTATCCCACCATCCTCTGCTCCCCCTGTGTCCATTCCTCCCCAGTCAATCTCCCCACCCTCCTCCTCCTGCCCCTCCGCACCCTCATCCCCCCAGCTGATCTCCCCGTCCCCGCCTGCGGCATCTCCTGAGTCCTCCCAGGTTATCTGGAAGGAGGAAAAGGTGACAGTTGGGTACATCAGTATGGTGACAGTTGCATGGACTATACATATAAAATATACATGTATAAATATAGAATACAACACGGTGTATTCCGTATCGCCCGTGGTACCAGCCCGACCGCGCGTCGGATCGCCCGACGGCCGAAGGCCGGAGGGAGATCCGATCTGCGGGAGGGCTGGGACCGAGGGCGATGCGGAATACACCGTGTTGTATTTTATTTTTGTCATACCCACCCAAGAATACGCGCTTTTCAATGCGAAATGAGCAAAAATTTGGTGTCCCTGTAAACCCCAAAATGCGACAACATCAATTCCAACATCCGGATTCTGTATTCGAATTTCAAAATCGGTGCACGCGGTTAGGCCGAAACGCGTTCGAATCGTTCTATGGAACATTTGGAAGCCCCGGGCCGTACGCGTAAAGAACCCCCGGGCCGTACCGCTAGTTATCACATGGGCCGGAACACCCGTATCGAACGTAATCGCGGCCCAGGTAGGACATAATATATAATACATAGACATCATAGATATCTGCTGCTGTGTGAAAGAAATGAATCAAGTTTCCAGATTTTATCCGCAAAGTCAGTGAGAGACGAAAGGAAGAAAGACTGAAGATATCAGCTTTAAAGCTTTATGTGACATTTTTGCAGGGGTACTGGATAGCCAGTTCTACACAATCGCTCACTGCCGGGGATTAACTGGCTCCTCCAACTGTATGGTGGGCCGGCCTCTAGAGTGACTGTGTGATTTAGTCAGGATAGGCTACTGGGCATGAAGCATTTGTGTTATCTGGGTAATCTCCAAGCAGATCCCTCTCGGTGGCAAAAAGACAGTATCAAATTGGCCAGACAGTATCCATTAGCCAGAGAAGCTCCATTAGCCACCAACGGGGATCAGGACAACAACAAAAACGGCCATATATAAAAAGGTAACGATCATTCCCCACAACCTCTGCTTGGAGAGTATTATCTGGGTACGTACAGTGCAGCAAGTGAAATAAATGAAATATTTGAATGGAGTTGATGAATTCCTGAACTTCTGATCACCCACCTGTGGCTCCTCCGTAGCTGCAGGCTCCCCTCCCCCGGGCAGACCAGGCTCCACCACGACTGTGGGCACCTCCCCTGTCCTCCACTGGTACACGGTCGTGTTCCCGTGTGACGTCAGGTACCTCAGCATGGATACCATGGAAACATCAGCCTTAGCATCATCTCCAGAGCTGCCATATCAAAAACAAGAACCAGAAGTTCAGAACTGTCAGCCTTGAAAGTATGTTCCATTTGTGATTAATCTCACCTTGTAGATGGTCGATAGATACCCTCAGGGTAATGAGACCGCTCCTAAGTTATGTCTGTACAGCAGGCTTAACTTGTAACATTACATGTATGTGTATCCATTTAGCAAGCACTGATATAACTGTCCTTCAGTGTAACAAACCAAGTTTGCAGGCACAAATTACACCAAATGACTTGTTACACCTAGCCTTTGCAAATCCAACTCTTGGCATTGTATAAAGTTTGTAGTGATGACATGTAGAGATGAACCTCTAAAATTCTAAAAGTCATAAATTCATTAAGTTACAAGTCATTAGGACATTCAAATTTTTTTTAACCTATACACCATTTTAACAATAACAGGAAAGTTCAATCTGAAGCAGAGGACCAGCTGTAATACACTTCTACTGTAGGCCTGCCCTTATTGTATCTCTCACCTGGACAACAGGAACTGTACAAAAGCTGTGTAGAAGTCTATAGCAGGCTGCAGGGACTTGGTCTCCTCTGCAAGCTTCTGGTGGATCCCTGGGAGTTGTTTTAACAATGCCAGCAGCTCGGAACGGATGTTCTTACCCTGCAGGGGAAAACATTTCATTTTTTCTTTTTACTGTATAATCATTTTGTATGTAGGATAGGGGTTGATGAGCACATCTTTGATCAGAAGTTAGTGACTTCTTTGAAAATTCTGATAAGAAAAACAAATATTCTCACCACAATGCCAAGTTCCTTGCATGATGCCTTGAAACCTTCTCTTTCTATTCTGGCTTGGCTGGTGAAGTCTGCCTCCTTTTTCACACACTCCTATTCAAGATGTAGACAAACAAACAACAAACAATCATTTAAAAATTTAAAGAAATCTGCTTAAAAACTGTTGAAGAAAATCATTACCTTAAAGTGATCTGTAAATGAATACCACCATACGGTACCTCCTGTGTCTGCTTGCACTTTGCTATTTGTCTCTTCACTGCTGGGATCTCGTAGTTCACGTTCCTTGTCAACAATTGAGCTCCTTCAGCTGTAGGAAAAGTACAAAGCTTAGTGCAATTACACATGTAAATTTTACACTGCACAGTGCCATGTTTATGAGGTTTTACAGTATTTTAAGTTCACAGCACAAAAACATATTTGTGGTGTCATGATTTTGTGGCGGACAGGCACCACAAAACCCGCAAAAATAAAATCATTGCAGACATTTAAAAAATACCACTAGATCTGACTCACCAAGATTGACATTGTCTTTCTCATATAGTCTGACCACCTCTTGCCAGTCCTGAAGAAAGATAAATAAATTAGTCTCCAAGATATTACATAAAAATCTGAGCACCTTCAAAAACATGAATACCGTATATTACAGATTTCAATCATCTTAAAGTTTACTTGCCACAAGTGAAGTTTCAAAGCATTAATACACAAAAGTTTCAAAGCATTAATACACAAAGCAGAAGAAACTGTTTTCTAGAGATATCATTTATGTCTATCATATATGGTTATCCCAAAAACTTAAATAATACCAAGAAGGATCGGTTCTCACCTTCATCCGTTGAGAGGAATACCGACCAAATATATCTTTGGTGTTTGCCTCTGAAACCTTCAGTAGTTCTACTATCCGTATGCAGTGGAAGTAGTTTATATCTGTTGGGAGAGGACAAAATATCACCATTCTTACCATTGAAACTCAAATTCAAGGCCATTGACAGAAATGCCTGTGATGTGTTACAAATCATCATGTTAGGTAGAACTACCAGGCTTGAGAAGAGACTGGAAAGAGCAAAAATTGGTCAAATAAATAGATAACATGCCAGGGGAGTTGGTCCGCTAAAGAAGTAACGTTACAGTTATCAGAGTGGCAGCCTGTTTGCAACTCCATAGGGGCAGAGTTGAAAACTGAGTTCCTTTGCCAGACCAACTCCCCTGGTATGTTAGCTCTCCATTTGACCAATTTCTACTCGTTCCAGCCTCTTCTCAAGCCTGGTAGAGCCTAAGTAAAATCATCTGTGCTTTATTTAAGATTACTGACATTTAGCTGGACTTACACGTTCCCTGTAGCAGTTGTGTGATCTCCTGCACTTCCGGCATGTCCTGTATGGCGGCGTTGATTTTCTCTCGCACCACCAGGGCTGCTGCCTGCCACTGTCGGTTACAGTGCCTCCTATCCACAAGCCAATCTATTATAGGTAAAAGGAATGAGATGCCAATTATGACAGATATAATCAGCAATGAAGAACTGAACAGTTGATTAGTTCAAGTACTAGTAAATGATGAGAATAATTACCTATTTTGGAGTATGTAACATTACATCCTATCCTAATGTTATTATATTATATACTGGGCAAAGCCCTCTTGGGGCATCTTTTGTTGTCAATGGCAGATTATATTAAAATGATATAAAATTAAAAGGCAAATATCATATCATCTAGATACTTGTGCACGGAATGGAGGGACAAGGAAATTCAACATATTACAACATAGGAAACTAAATACATCTTGCCCTATATAGTCTATAACAGCAATGATAACAGTTATAATTTCTCCATATGCCCTAACTTGATATGCAGGAAATTTAGGTTGTAAAACTAGACTTCTCTAAAATAAATCGACTGTACTATACTTCATACGTAGGTGCCGGCCCGTCTATCTACATACACCTGCCCAAATTCCATGCCTGTCATCAACCTGTTTTTTTTTTTCTATATGAAAAACCATGCCGGAAGAAAATTTTCTTCAGAACTGGCTGTGTGCTGAGGCCATGGAAGAGGAGGGGCGGAGTTGCCAACTCACCCAGCAGCTTGTTGTAGTGGATATCGATGGGTAGTTTCTGTATGTCCTGTTGAGACACCATCTTGTGTTTCTCCTCCTCTGCTTTCTTAACTTTGCGTTGTCCTGCCTACTTTGTAGTATCAGGAATTGTTCCTCCAGATGGAATTTGTGCGTCTGTGCAGTCGCCACGCAGGTGGGTCAAAGGTTATAATTAGGGTGATTACATTCTTCAAAATAGGTAAGGTTGAAAATATATTTCTTGTAGACAAACGTCATAAAGTGTGCATATAACATTGGTTTAGGGTTAGTTACCTAATGTGTAGGTATATTAGAATATGTTTGTATTTGTTTAATGACGGAATAAGTGTGTTGGTAAGTACATATGAATTAATAAACCCCCCGGCATGTGAGTGGCTGCTTCAACTGAACTTTCAACTCCAAAGTAGTTTCTCGTGGACTTTGTATCAGAAATCAGGCCAGGAAAGAGATTTAATCCATTTCTCGGCTGCTAGACGTCTCATAGAAAGCTGTCATGACCCTGAAATTCTGTGCCAACATCTCCTGGCTGTTTCGGGAGGCCGGGGCGGTGCCTCTGCGGTACGGGGCGGCCGCTCGGGCCGGCTTCCGGGGAGTGGAGGCCGCCTTTCTGTACGACATACCCGTGGAAGAAGTGGTGAAAGCGAAAGAAGAGGCGGGAGTCGAGCAAGTCTTGATCAACATGTTCCCGGGAAACCTTGCCGATGGCGAGCTCGGGCTGGCGGCTCTACCCGGGAGACAGCAGGCGTTCAAAGACGGTCTGGAACTCTCGATCAAGTACGCGAACGCCCTTAAGTGCAAGCGGATGCATCTGATGGCAGGACGCGTGCCGGTGGACTGGAGTCGCGAAGCCGCTCTGCCAAGCATGGAAGAGACATTCGTGGAGAACCTGAAGTTCGCCGCGGCCAGGCTTGAGAAAGAAGGGATCCTTGCGCTCATCGAACCCATCAACTCTAAGATGACGGACCCGAAGTACTTCTTAAACACCCCTCGACAGGCTTTGGGCATCCTGCAGAAAGTTGGCCACAAGAACGTCAAGCTGCAGATGGATTTCTTCCACCAACAGATCATGGACGGGAACCTCACCAACAGCATCAAGGAGTACCTCCCGCACATCGGCCACATGCAGGTCTCGTTGTTGTTGTTGTTGTTGTTGTTGTTGTCTCTGCTTAACGTCTATTTTTCCGTATATTCTTCATTCAGGAGTTGCTGTCTGTCCTTGTCGTATCTTCCACAGTGATGTATGTATAGTTATAGTTATAGTGGTTTGTGGTTTCTTTTACCCCGCAGACGTAACAGTTTGGGGTCACTTCTGGGTCTGTCCAATTTCTGTAGGTCTCCCAGGTCCCCGGTAGGGCAGAGCCGGACTCCGAGGGCGAGGTGAACTACGGTTACGTGTTCTCTGTGCTGGAGAGTGTCGGGTACGACGGCTGGATAGGGCTGGAGTACAACCCTGCCGGGGACACACTCACCGGCCTGGAGTGGTGGAGGAAGTACATGAGCAAGGCAAAATGATCTATGCTACCAGCGGAACTGTGTGCCAGAATGTGTAAGCTGGTGAAAAGAAAAAAGGGACTATTTTAGCTTCAAACGTTATCTGTGATTGCAGGTGGCTATGGTGATGAGATATGCAAGCAACAACTATACAGACAGCGTGGATTCTTTTCTTACTTCGGTGATTGAAAACAAGAACAGTGCTACCTTTTATGGTACATTATTTCAGTTGATCTGAAGACAATTGTACATAAAAATGTAACTTTTGATTGTCTTACAAAATATTATCATATATCAGAACAATTATGAAGCTAAATGTACAAATGAGATGTTGTGCAAATACATGTATGTTGTATTGCGGTGTCAACATTTAATCTTTACAAGATTTTAGCCAGCATGTAGTGTTTAAGACCCTGTTCATACCAGACTTATATTTAGCGGTTTCAACCGGTTTTTCAAAAACCGGTTTTTATTTAACCTGGTGTGAACGCAAATTAACCGGTTTTTTAGGGGTTTAAATCCGATTTTGAAAAACCACCTCGGGAGGTGGTTTTTGAGGGGTTTTTGTGGGGTTTTTCCACCGAAAAACCTGGTCTGAACGCTAAGGGTTTATTGAACCGGTTTTTTGCGTCATAATTCCGGGGTCACGGGGTCAGCATCCTGGCCGTGTGCGACCTGCAAGCTTTTTTGAGCGCGTTGTTTTGACCAACTTGAGTTCGTTTCCACTGTTTTTCCACGGTTTTTCTTCATTTTGCGATGGAATCAGCAAACGCAACCTGGTCGGCGAACGGGACGCTCTTGATACTTAGGTTGGAGAGCAGGAGTCGCCAAATTCGAAAAAGCTAGGGGGGGGGGCGAGGGCTCTACCGAAACAAAAATGTTGGAGGAGGCTGATTTCTTGAAGATAAAGGATCAGTGCCGCACTAAGGTAAAAAAAAAAACTGAAGACGGCATACAAGCAAGAAGGCCAAGGAAAACAATCAGAAGAGCGAGAGGAACGGTTATTCAAACTGCAGTCATGGCCGATTAATTGGATATTCACCGGACAGGATTTTTACAAAACCGGTTATCAAAAGTCTGGTATGAACGCTAAGGGTTTTAGCCGGGTTTTTGAAAAACCGGTTGAAACCGCTAAATATAAGTCTGGTATGAACAGGGTCTAAGTGCAGCAAATAGACTGATGTTGTGTGTTATTCTGTCATTGGTAAGTTCAGCAATACTGAGGTAAAGCCACAGAACGAATGAAGTAAAATCGATCACTTGTGCTGTAAGATCGCGAGAAAATGCTTGCAATGAAGAGCAGTTCCTCAATAACGATTACTGGTGAATTAAACGACTGTTGTAGCGTTTTTCCCAAGGGAATGGGTGTTGTGTATGTGTGGTGTTTTCTTGCCTATCGAAACAGAGTAAAGTTAATGTACGATTTGAAGCAGTCGTTGACTATGGCTACATACCTCTACTTAATTTTTACACGTTTTCTTTTGTTTCCACTACAGATCTTGAACCTTTTAAGCTTTACTGTAATTTATAAGCTTAAAACACATTTACCTATCTATATACTAGTATACAGAAAATGATAGACACTGCTTTTCCATTTTCTCATCTTTTATTGAGAAGGTCAAGAAAGTTGCGTCAACAAAATATAACATAATTTTGAAGAATTTTGTTCCAGCAAAATTTTCAAGTACATGTATTCGAACAACTTTAAACATCACAAGCAGCTTTAGAATAATCGTATATACATTTGCGTTTTACTTATTGCACTTAGTTTCGCTATTAACTACGAGTACTTTTAACGCAACTCGGTATGATATATACACACATTTGCATTGTTACTGGAGCTTGGATACAGATTGAAACTTTCATACAGTCAGCAGACAATGGTTTGAGAAAAGGAATGATTAGACCGAGGACATTTCAAGGCTTCTGTACAATTTGTCGTGGCGTCAAGACCGATTTTTAGCTGCAAAAATGCTTCATGTATATACACTTGAATTATTTACAGGTATGTACAGATACTGGTCAATTGTCCGTATACAGTTTTCCTTCTGTCAGTTCTTACAGCGTGACTCTCTGCAGACTCTGGACGGGCGCGGGCACCATCTGCGGGGAGGCGGAGGGCAGGTAGCTGTAGCTGGTGTAGGGCAGCGCCATGACGTCGGAGCGCGGGTACGTCGTCATGACGGCGGGGTACGGCAGGGACGTGGCGTACGCCGACGTCACGGGCACGGCGTAGGCGGCCGGGTGCGCAGCAGGGTGGGCGGCGGCGGCGTAGCTGTAGGCCGACACTGACGGCTGGGAGATGGCGGTGTACTGGTAGCCGTACTGCATGTAGGGGTGCTGTGCCATGGCGGTGTAGCGGCGGACGTTCCTCCTGGCGCGGCGGCGGTGGAAGTCTCCCCGGCCGAAGTCGTCCATGTTGGCGGGGTGGATGGCCCAGTAGTTGCCCTTGCCGTCCTGGGAGCGCCCGGCCTTGATGAAGCAGTCGTTGAGGGACAGGTTGTGGCGGATGGAGTTGCGCCAGGACCGCTCGTTGTTGCGGTAGAACGGGAAGTTGTCCATGATCCACTGGTAGATGTCGCCCAGGAGGAGCCGCTTGTCCTTGGACGACATGATGGCCATGGCTATCAGGGCGATGTAGGAGTGGCGGGGCTTCTCCAGCTCGGACGACGGCGACTCGGGCGGCGACGACTCGGGCTTGGCGGTCGTCGGCAGGGGGTTGGGGCTGGCGCCGACGGGTGAGATGCTGCTGGCCCGGTCGTCCTCGGACCCCGACGACTCGGGGTCTGACACTGACACGGACGGGCTGCACCGGACGATGCTGAGCAGCGGAGCGGGGAGGTGGTCGTCTTCCCTCAGGGGGCCTGGCTTCTCCACGCCGACCAGCCTGTCGATAGAGAACGGCAGCATGTTGACTGGGTAGTAGAGTGGCGATCGTCGAGAAGAGTTGGTGCGTCGAGCTCGGAGGCTGTCTCGGAATGAAGACAAACCGTTTGACGCCCGGATTTTATACACGAAGCCAATGGCCAATCAAACAGTGGGTGGGCTCCGGGTATTGTCTTGGTGCTAATTTGCACTCAATTATCACCTCGCTTGAAAATGGGGAGGGCGTAGCCAGGATTACCATCTGAATGCGCAATTGTACGCGTGATTGCCACATTGTTGGCACTGTGGGTTCAACGATGGGCTCTTGTTTGTCAACATATGGCTTATAGCGTGAAGTTGATGCTCTGTCATATTGAAGAGATTTACATGTATACACAAATCCTACTATCTACATGGACCTGCCTATAAAGACATAGCCACTTCACGGACAAAGACTTTCCACCTCTCAATGCACGTTATTTACTTTAAGTACAAGGAGACACAAAACGATATTTACTGGTCCAAGTAGACATAACGTTTCTATGGCCAGTTTATTCTGTCAAGACAGTGAAATATGCAAAATTTTATACCAAAGTTAGATTAAGAGTGTCTGTCAAGTGTCTGTCTGCCCAAGTGCGGGTCTTACAGACATGCTAGACAGACATTTATTAAAAAAATGTTGTGAATGATATCTGTGAGAACAGGGACAAACATATGACAGGAAGATATTTTATCAACGGCCATCGGCTATGCTAGCTGGAAACTGTTTTAGAATAATTGCCTAATGAACCCGGAGCGTGGATTAGGTTCGACATACCGAGTGAAGTATATTTGAACACTAGTGTTAAGCTCTTGTCCAAGCGAGATAGATTAACACGTGCCCGCACGGATTGTATGATAAACCGGAAGAACTGTTGGATAATCGCTTCCTTCTTGGCTACTACATGTACTAGTATACGATTTCTTTATTTCGTTGTGTCAGAAAACACTTTAAAATGTTTTGGCGAGAGCTGGCTTGCCAAAAGTTTTCTTTTAATAGTGGTCTTCGCTTTACATTATCTGCGACAAATAACATTAGACCCTTGTCGCGAATTGTGGATTATCTTTTTTTATTAAACTTGTGAAACAAAAGTAGACAATTTCTTCACAGTTTCTCGACGAAACCTTTTCTCGCATGTCGATCTGTCATTCAAATTCTCTGGAAACTGGCACTAACGTCTGACAATGGTGCACTGATGGGTGAACCGAGCCATTCTCTGCAGACGCCAACTTGTCTTACCTGTCCATTGTTGGGAGCTGCAGGGCTTTTGTGTGGCCTTTGTGTGTTGTTTATCTCGGGGCGTGGATGTTTCTCACCCTGATCCCTCCCAGTTGAAAACATCGCTAATGAAGCCATTGTTTTCCCAAGGAGGTGTAAAACGTCCTCTCCACGGGGCCACTACTGTCCGGCAGGTGAGGAGAGAACAACACGACGTTCACGTACTTCACACTTATGGTTTCTGTTGGACTCTTTTGAAAGGACCCCTTTGTCACGGGATCGAGAACTATTGTTCGATGCAGAATTGGTGGTTGATGGTGTTTTCCATAAAAACAGAAACGAAAATTGTTGTTGCAACCTGAGGGTAATTATGCGCACTGAAAAGAGCCAAAAACAACAAAATCTGAGCATTTCACACAGCATGTATGTGGTAATTATATATCGATTTGGGACTATCGTGTTTTTGTGTAGTTTCTACCAGAAAATGATTTCACTGCTATTCTGAGACTGTTATTTACTGTGTAATCTTAGGGACGTAAATATGTTGAAGTTCCTTGGTGATATGAATGGACTTTGCCAGTTGCTTAAGAGAGCAAATAAAAATTCCTTGCAATGAGCAAAAGAAAAATGGAATATGCGTTTAACGTAAACGGACAAAAATGCCTTGCTTTTTTAGAATACTAGAAAACACTTCCCTATAGTGCCTTATGTGTTAACATATAGACTAGTATAAGTATAATGAGAGGGTGACTGCTTCAACTTCAACCCTGTGACAGGAATGAGGAATTTGTTGGTTGCCCTCGGTTTGTTTTACATTTTGCTTAGGCGTATCGTGGAAAAACTTTTATTCGTAGTAACATGTACGTGTGCTATGAGTTAAAGCCCAAATATCAGCATCAGTCTCTTGCAAATGTAACATTTACTCCATACATTCGTCCTCTTTCTTTAAACTCGGTTGGAAAGGAAGGAGTCAAGCTTATGAGTAAGAAACAAACAAAGTTAGCATTAGGAGCTATTGGCTTCCACTCGACGCTCATGACAATAGCGACAACAATAACAACATCCATTACTACAGGCTCTGCTGAAAGGAAGCCAGATAGTAATTGTCTGGGGAAAGCTGACGCGACGCGGACTTTACCATCAGAATAGTGGCCGTCTGAAACTTTCGTGGGAGAAAAACAAATACACATTCTGTATAGCAAGGAGATGTAGCCTCCATAGCATTCCAAAAACTGGGGGTTTGGGGGTCTTTGGGAGCTTTTATGTGCTATTTTCTGATTACATATAGACAACATAACTGGCCTGGTTGAATTACCCCCGTTTTTCGAACTGGATGGGCTAATCAGAAAGTTGAAACAGCCGAATACCACCAAATCTCCAGTTCTATAAGCCTGCTACGGAGGCTAAAGGAGATGGCTGTACGAACTTTAATACAACTATTGCAAAATGTGTGATGATTTCAGAAGGAAAAGTGATGACATATCCGTGATGAAGGAAACAGTGGATTTAATGAATGAAGGAAAGACCTTTATTGTACGTTTATGCTCTTACAAGCTAAGTATAGGCCATGAACGAAGCAGAAATAAAGAAAAATTACAGCAGTATCTTACTAAAACCATACATGATAATCGCAGCCAATGTTAGCTACTATGTGTATATATGTGCAACTTTTTCCCGCTTCTTTTAAGATAGTTTAAATGATACATGTACAAGGTTTGTCTAGTTTAATACGGCAAGGTTTCAATTCAACTACGAATCCTACTTCAATATTTTCTAGCGCGATAGGTAGAAATTCGATGTGATCATAAAAATACTTGTTTTTTTCTCACGAGTTTACGACTTTGCCAATAAGTAATTATTGATCCTTAACTTTATCAAAGTTTGTGAGCTTTCTGTAATCTATAGTAAGCCATGATAAACCGATTGAAAAAAATTCTGACAGACAACATTCACAGATGGAACAACACTTTTTCCCCCAAGATAACCAACTTTGTCTGGAAACCATACAAGTTAAGACGGGGACAAAATCTAGCATATGCTAGTATTGTTATCTTGAGTGATGAATTTGCATATGGAAATATCTGTTTAGACTACGGACGTGGGAAAGTTTATGGAATTTGGTTACAGGTAGTTTTACTAGATGCTATTTTTTCATATTACAAATTTGTACGTACAGTATGTCACCGGTCAGTTTGTGGGAACGAAAAATATGACATAACAGACAGCAAACCACACAAAAAAAGTTGGAAAGAAATATACTAGTACTCATGTACACCGTTTTGTATATTCTTGATATTAATTGTTTTTCGTTCACGGAAACAACCCGGTCGGGCCCCGGTTAGGAAATGTGACCTTAATATAAGTTTTGACTCTGCATTTATGATGTTTTGGCATATTTGGTTTGGAAATGTGGCTATGAGTGGGCATCAGTTAATAATCCCACCAGATCCTATGTGTGCAAACAAGGATTTTCTAGTGAATCACTTCCACTTTATTATTGCTAAACTGACAGCACACATGGCGAAGTTTTCGTTTTATACTTAACGAACAATTTGAAGTATGTCTGCAAACTTACGTCACTGCATGAATCATCACGAACAAAACACATAGCTCGAAACTAATTGAGTTCTATGACTTCCCCATAGTAGTTTGATCAAATTCTACAACTTTTCCAACAATTAAACGACTTGTGATAGCTAAGTTTTAAAAGTGCGTTCATTTGTGACAAACCTAGAATACATATTTCCGAAAATAATTTCATGAGGTTGGTAGAGCATAACTACTATGGTATTGGTAGGGCCACCTACATCGGCTACATACAGCGGCGAGAAGCGACAGAAGCCCTGAGGAATGCGTCTGATAGACGAACCATAAGCAGATAATAGACATTACTGGTTATAAAAGAATATCCAAACATCGTAGAGTACAACTTGTTCAGGCTATGTATGGCTGGGACGCACTTCGAATTCTTGATTTGGTTTATTGAAATTTCTTGGGGGAAGAGACAGATATGTAATGCTTCTCCGTACGTCTTTCAATTTTTTTCTCCGCGACGTGCTCAGGAATGTTGAGTGGTATGAGACTAGAGATATCCATCTACACCAGGTAATGAGGTAATTAGCGGTCATTAAGGACGGGATCTTATCGGAGAATCCGCTCCGTCCGATGGCAGTGACAAGAGGAGGTAGCCTCTACCAGGCTTCGGGGGGCGGCTGGCAAGAGAAGAAATTCCCCAAATAGGGAGATAACATGTCAGAGGAGTTTGTTAGCTAGAGAGTAGCTGACCAACTTCCCTGGATAGTTATCTAGTTGGCCAATTTCTACTCTTTCCAGCCGCCTCCCGAGGCCTGGTAGAGGCTAAAGAGGAGGAGCCGTGAGACACGCGTCTATCTGCGTAATCCTGTCATTACTGGCACAATACGTGGGTGGGAGAGGGTGGGACAACAGGGACAACACGTAAACACGGGCCTGCTATTTTAAACAGAAATGCACCTGGGGGCAAAGTTTGGCGTATTACGAGTCTACCAGACCTCCGCGTCGAATTGAAGGAAAGGGTGGAGAAATTGGCCAAAACAGGGCTACTAGGACTGAGTTTGATTTGGAGAGTAATTCATTCGACCATTGGTAGCAACTAATACCCCAATGCATGGCCGGTTAACTCAAACCAACTGGCCAACTTGTACTGTGTTTCCAGCAACCCGCACAGTCTTATCTGTGTGCCCTCTAGCCTAGGTCGTTTATACCGGCCACCCAAAGCTCTAACTAAGCTGGTGTTACTCCTGTTACGTTCGTTAGATTATAAACACTAACTTGACAAGGATGCTTGGTTTTCGCAGTACCAA